GGGTGCGGGGTCAGGGCTCCTCGTCCGTGATGTCCAGGATGCTGCCCAGCAGCGCCGTGAAGCTGGGCCGCTCCTCAGCCTTCTGCCGGGACAGCGGGGAGCGCTGCTGGAGCCGGGGCTGCCCCGCCGCTCGGCGCGGCCCCGGGAGCCGCAGAGCCCCGGGGGGGGAGCCCCGAGGGGGGGAGAGGGACTCACCTCGTGCCAGCAGCTGTACATGAGGGCATAGACCCGCTCCGACGCCTGCTGCGGGCGGTACAGCCGCAGCCCCTGGATGACGTGCTCTGTTGTCTCGCTGTTGTTAAACCTCTCGTAAGGCATCTTTCCCAGAGAGTAAACTTCCCACATCAGAACGCCTGTCACAGGGAACGGCAGGGACGGTGGGTTTGCAGAGGAGCTCACCATTGCCAGGGCAGCCTCTCCTCCTGACCTCGAGGGTCATGCTCTTACCAAAAGCCCAGACATCAGACTTGCTGCTGAACTTGCTGTACAGAAGCACTTCAGGGGGAGACCACCTCACTGGGAACTTTGAGCCCAAGGAGCTTGTGTACTCATCATCTAGAACGTACCTGCAGCAGACAAATGGACCAGGGTGCCAGGTTTGGATCTCACGTGTCACTCCCCTAAGCCCAAAAGGAACTGACAACTCTCAGAGTGACCAGAGGTTGCACTCCACATGGGTTTCAACAGGCAGAAATGTCCCTTTGCAAACAAGTGTATGTTAATCAGGATTGGGGAAGGGATGGGGTGACACAGAAGCACAGCAAAAAGGGGATGTGGAGAGAAAGCTGCAGCCAGGAGACCAGAGGTGAAGAAGGATCAAAGAGGGGGAAAGGGGGCAGGGGAAGTAAGAAAGGGGTGGTGGAAAGTAGAGAGGCAGAAGGTTGAGCCAGATACATGAAGTGGACAGGTAGGAAAACAGAGGAACAGCAGAGCTGGATGGATGGTGGGGAGCAAGGCTGAACTATAGAAAAGACTGATGAAGGAAATTGGGGACTGAGACAGGAAGGTGACACAGGTGTATCTACCAGACCTGGAAAGGCCAAAATCTGATACTTTGACTATTCCTTGTTCATTCACCAAGCAGTTGCGAGCAGCCTGTGGATGAAGAGATGAAGAGAGTCATTCCTACCAGCTTCTGCCTCTCCCATCTCCCTCCACCATCTGGAACTTCATCTTGCCCCCACCCACTTAACACTTTGCCTCACTTTTTGCCCTGCAGGTTCACCAGGATTGGGGCAAACTACAAAGTCCTCAACAAAGATAGCAAGAAAGGCATCTAGGCCTCTGTTTATCTATGGAGGGGTTTATCTGGTGGGATTTTGCCTGAACAAAGCAGCAGCAGGAGGGGGTCAGGCATGGCACCTAGCAGGACTGCAAGCTGGCAGTGCCAGCCCAAGACCTGACAAACTGCAGGCTCGAGAGCTCCCTTTTCACTGATGAGCCACTGGTGCTGCCTGTGCTGCCAAACACAAACCCTGCCCTAGCCACAGGTGCATTTCTCATCCCCTGGAAAACCACCTAGCCCTGCCCTTTCTGCAGTCTCTGCTAACTTGCTGCAGACCAGTGACTTCAGAGCATCCTGCCCATACTCAGGTGGGCAGGGAAGCCTAGAGGGATGTTCTGCAGAGAACACTGCAGAGCTGCCTCTCCTCATGTTGATAAACTAGCTGGACCCTGTCTAGGATATGCCCGAGATGTGTCCTTCAGCCACAGCCCTACCAGGTCTCTGTGCAGGAACTGCTTGGACTCCAGGTATTCCATAGCTTCACAAACATCCTTGCACATCTCCAGCAGCTCAGCAGGCTGGAACCGCCGCCGAGGTTCCCTCAGGAAGTTCAGGAGGCAGCCATTGGCCATGTACTCAGTGATGATGAAGATGGGACGCTGCTTGGTGCAGACCCCATAGAGCTGCACCAGCTTCTCATGAGACAGGTTCCTGCATTGAGGACAAGGAGAGAAATTCTGAGCATCTGGAAGGCCAAGCAGCAAAAGAAGCATCTGCCACTGAAGAGTGTTTGGGAGGAGAAGGTGCTTCTGGCCCAGCCAATGGTGGAAAAGCTCACCAGGGAATCAGCACAAAGGCAGAAGGTTCTCAGATGCATTTTGCGGTGTGAAGCTGCCTGGGACTGTCCCTCCACATGCCCCAGGAGTGCAGCCATTCTGGCAAGGCACATCCAGCACTGACCTGCAGGCTGCTCACCACTTACATCATGACTTTGGCCTCATCGATAAACTCATCCTCTGACATGGAGCCTTCCCTGATCATCTTGATGGCCACGTTGTACTGGCCTCTCCATTTCCCGTACTTCACCACGCCAAACTGCCCCGTCCCCAGTTCCTTCAGGAAGGTTAGATCCTTTGGGTCAATCTCCCACGACCCTAGGACGGAGAGGGTGAGAAAATGTGGGAGCAGGTGACATCCCTGCAGGGTGCTCCCAGTCATCTGGCCCAGCAAGCTCAAGAAGAGCTCATGAGCATGTGCTGCCTGAAAAATCATCCCAAAAAGTCCATGAAATCTGAGACCTGCTCCTCCAGGGAATGGGGAGCAAAGTAGCACCAGAGGGCCACTGAGTGTTGGGAAGTGATTCCTGGGAAGGCTGTGAGCCCTCCTGTCCTGGGACAGGCAGGATCCCAGCCCCAGAAATTTACTGCCAGTAAAGACAGGCCCTGCAACCAGGGAACTGTGAGGTAGCCCAGGCCAGCTTACCATAGCCAAGGCCAGCTGTGGAGGGAGCACTTTTCTGGTGTTGAGACACAGGGTACTTCAGTCTGGATATGAGCCCTGAAACACAAAAAAGTAGATCCTCACACCACGCTTACCTGCCACATTCCAGCAGGGAACAACAGGCCTCCTGCCTTCAGTGCAGAAAGGTGGGGATACTGTCATGTCAGTAAAAACACTGCTGGCCTCACTCTGCCCCCCACACACTGACCAGCAGAGTTGTGCTGATGGTAGGTGATGAGCTCTGGGATGGTGTTGAAGAGGTGCTTTTCTGCCAGGTAATACTGGTTCTGGGGGGTGCAGCACACAACGTAGTGACGGATGGTGCCTTGGGTGTCTCTGGAGAGACAACAGTGGCGTCAGCAGCATGGGGAAGACATGGGCCTGAGGGGCCCTCTGAGGTAGGAACAAGCTGGTTTTCAATCCACTTACCCAGAGGACTTAGCATAGACAGAGACAGTGTATTTTCCTGTCTTGCTGGTGGAGTCCCGGACAATGAAACCCCCCTCTTTGCCCTAAAACAGAGAGAGAAGAAAGGACAAGGTGGCTGTGGGAACATATGACTCTTAACAGGCAAGACCTAAGGTGAGTGAAGACCAAAGCATGGCTGGAGAGGGTGGAATAAGTCAGAGGAGTCCTAGATCCAGTCCATGTCTGCGGGGAGCACCTCCTGAAGTGCCTACCAGGAGGTCATGCTGGGATAGAAATGAATCCTGGGGCTATTAGGGCAACATTCCCCTCCCAGTGCAAGCCAAGGTTGGGTCCCAGTGTGACAGCAGCCCACGGAGAGCTGGTGTGAGAAAGGACACAGCCTCAGGAGCCAACACTTACCTCCTGTTTCAGCAGTTGCTCTGCTTGGCTCCGAGTGATATTCTTCGAGTACCACCTGGAACAGGGACACAGCCATCAGGGAGATCACCACAGCCATGGCTGTCCCCAGCCTTGTCTGACTCTGGCCCAGCCAGGACAGGTGGTGCAGGGAGCAGGGCAGGGATGGCTGTCACAGGGCCAGAGAGTCTCAAAGAGTGTGTAGGAGGGAGAGTGACCCAGTCAGGCTGGGATCACAGGCTTATAGGTTAACAGAATGGAATGTAAGAAGTTTCTGATCAAGTGCAACTTGCCACGTCCCTGTGCCTTCTCTTACTCACTCAAAGATCTCCAGGGAATTGCTGGTTTCAGTGACATAGTTGCTGGGGATGTATCCTTCCCGCCTGCAGGAGAAAAGGGGCTGGTCACACACTGATGGAGGAGGTTAAGGGGAAAGCAGATTTCTGTCCCAGAAGGCTCAAAACAGGCTCAAAAACCTTGGTGCCAACTCATTTGAGTTCATCCTTGGGGAGGGCTGACACCACAGCCTGCTTCAGTCTCCCTCACCCTCCTCATGTGCTATCCCAGATGGGCAGCCTGTCCTGGCTGCTGGGATGCTGAAGGGTGTGTTTGCACACCAGTACCTTGGCACTGGCAGAGGGCACTGTGGTGAGGGGAGTGCCACGGGCAGTGGGAGTTCTTACCCATTCTTGTCACGGGCTTTCCACCAGGGCAGGTGGCTTTCCTCCAGGATGAAGTACTCCTCACCCTTCTGCAGCTGCAGGTCCTGGGCGTTCATTGGCTGGTAGTCGTACAGGGCCACCACCTTCTTCATCTCACTTGCTGTGCTGGGGGCTGGTTCAGGGGGCAGGGGCTTCATCACCATCTTCCCCAGAATGAGGGAGAATGTGGGACATGGTGAGGCTGGCAGACATACTGTTTTCCAGGTGAGACCCTCCCCAGACCTGGCGTGGCAGTGGGTTCAGGCCAGGTCAGCAGAGTGTTTGTCTCAGCTCTCACATGTATCTCCATCAGCAGACCCATCCCCCCCAGTGCTTTTAATTGCCACATTTCCTCCTCAGACACTTGTCCTGACTAAATGTAGGTGTTTTCTCTCTACCTTTTGCCTTAACCCATTACTCCTCCAACCCTGTATCAGGGCTACTCTATCCTCCCAGCTCCCCTTGGGGAACCCAGGGGTGAGATCATTTGACTCTCCTCCAGGCCTTTGGGCTCCATCCCCTGGTTCAACCTCCTCCTCCCTTAGGGCACCATCTTGACATCCCTCTCCGGAGCAGAGCCCTGGCCTGCACATCTCTGAGCAATGCCCTGTTAGTCATTGAATGTGTTGGCTTTTACCAGGCAGACCTTTCCTTAAGCACCTTGGAGCAAACCCACATGCTGAGGCTGGTCCCTACCTGATCCTCCTCAGGAGTGGGGGGAAGAGGCTTCTTTGTCTTGCGATGCGACCGCCCAACTTTTAAACCTGCAGAATGGCAAAGTGACTGAGGTTAGCAGAGCTCCCTGGCACGGTGCTGTGGCGATCCCCAGGGGCTGGGGCAAGGGGATTGTGCCAGGTGTCTTACTGCCATTGCTGTTCTCGAGGATCTGGCAGCCCATGGCGTTCTTGGCTGTCTGAGAGCAGCACAGGTACTGCCCATCGATCCAGAAGCAGGGGTGATACTTCTGCACCAGGTCGCTGTTGTACCGGATCACTGTGGCAGAGGAAGGGAGACATGTGTGACCCAAGGCTGTGTCCCCAGCCCGCTGTGGAGAATTCTCTGCTCCCTGAAGGCAAATGATTAACCCCATTAAATCATTTCACCATCTGCTGTGCTACTGATACAGTCACATGTGGCCCTGCTGCCCGGGTTTCCCTCAGCTCATCACTCGTGCTGGTGCTGCAGCCACGCAAACCCTGTGCCACAAAACCCCCAGCTCAGGGAGGGCCAGGCCTTTCCTCTCAGATTTGATCAAAGCTCTTCAGCAGCTCTGCAAAGGGACATGAGCATGCACGGAGGGTCAGGTCCTGCTGTGACCAACCCCCCTCCCAGCTGAAACAAACAATCCCCGGGGCTGCTGAGGTTTACAGTTTGCAGCTCTTTTGAACCCTTTTTTTCAGAAGTGGGGAGGGAGAGCAGTGCTGTGCCAGGGCTCAGAGACTTCCCTTGCTGGGAGACTGCTCCCTTGCCAGGCAGGTGCTGACCAGCTTCTTCATACACCTCCCCAAGCTAGAGGGACAACTGGAAGTGCCCCAACATCACCACAGCACACTGCTGGCTCACAGCAGCCCTGCGGGGGAGACAGAGCCCCTTCTCTGGTGGAGCAAGATAAGGGCATCCTGGCAGCATTTTGTCTCCCCTTTTCCCTGTGGATTTTACACTGGCTTCAGCTACCACAGCAGCTCCCCTCCCGTAGCAGGGAAGTGGGCAGAGGGCTGGCTGCCTGCTGGAGCAGAGCAGCAGGGCTTTCATGAAATAACTGACTTCTTCATTATCAGCCTGCCCTGCTTCCGCCTCGCTTGGGCAAACTTCCCTGTGTCAATGTGAGCAGCTAATCTCGCCTCAACAGCACAAAGCCACAGAAAGATACACATGCACCAAGGGACACAAACAGGCAGCTCCAGCAGATTTCATCTGGCTGCAAGCACCCCAGCCCCTCCGCACAGTGCTCCTGCAACACGTGCTCTGCTGCTTGGCCACATCTGCTGTTTCCTCTTGCCCTCAGTAACTTTTGAGCCTGCTTGAGATAATTTGAACCAGCACCGTGAGAGGGAAAGGAGCTTCAGCCAAGGTGGTTGTGGCGCTGCAGAAGTCACAGGGGTCAAGAGATGAGTGTCCACCTCCCCCAGTGGCTGGTGTCACCTCAGGGCTGTCAGGCAGCGTGCGTGTGGGGGCACAGCACTTGCCACAGAAGGTTCTGATCAGCTCTTCTGCGGACACTGGCTAACGTAACCACGAGCCAGCCCCCGGAAGCCTGGGGCTGTGGGCCCTGCTGCACGCACAGCTGATGGCTGGTGTTTGCCTTCCAGGGGAGCCACAGAGCCCCCAGACTCACCGCTCT